AAAAAAAAAATTAAATCAAAATAGTACTAATATACACGGTGACTGTACTTTTAATTCCTAAGTTTCTTGAATACTCTGGAAAAGAACACCGCACAAAAGATCGCTTAGGGAGCAAACAGAATCGTTCGACGAACCAACTTGTAATTATCTAAATAATCCTCTTATATTCTCATGTGAAGGCCACGTTGTAGATCCTTTTGGTGAGACATCTTCGACTTAAGAGGTCAATCATTCACCTACGACGTGATGAGTTTAAGTGTTGGTGGGCTTTGCTCTCATTCTGTATTCTATCTGCATACATTGGTAGGCGAATGATCTCATTTATTTCGTCCAAAACGACTTCCTCCGTGATATTGTCCCTTATACTTCTCATAACCTGTTTGGTGGATTGAACAACAAAACAATTTAGTACTGGTAGCAATGATTGCAATACGAACACCAATAGAGATGGGACGTACCTTCTTGTAGGTGTTAAACTCATTTGGGGTCCCTTTATCAGGCCTAATCCGCATACACATCCATACGTCTTCTTCAGAATCCCAAGAACACTCAACTATCTTCCCTGAGTATGATGTCGGATCGGACCCATCTGCAAAATCATAATGGAGGTCCAAGGGAACAATCATAAGGAGAAAGAGGACCAGAATAAGAACCAATAAATCATCATGTGAACAAAGCAAAGAAACAAATACAATATCAAGTACAGACAACCATTCTAGTGTGGCTTAAAACCAATCTGCACACCTAATGGAATCCTTAGTTTTATAACTGAGGAAGTTTTGCTTCATGTTTTAACACAGTGATAGACATGCATATATAGTAACCTCGCAAATGCCTTCTGAGCCACATCTGATTTCCAGTTCAGTCATAATTTGATTTAGGGTTACTTCATAGAGTAGCCAAAAATGAAACTGAAACTATAATTGCAGGAAAACTACCACGTACTACTACCGGATATATAATTGATGTGCACTGAAGGTCTGGGTGCAAAAATAAAACTATTTACAAATTAACC